GGGATATATATTTTCTGCAAGAAAGAAGCAACTTGAGATAAAGAGGAACTATACTGTTAGGTAAGCTCAAATAATCCCTAAGAATTCTCAAGAGTAAAATAAGTGGTTTCTAAGCTTCTGTTTAATTTTGGCTGATCTTTGGCTTCAAGAAAGGAGCATAAACGTTATAGCACCTCAGACACCTGACTCTTGTTCTATATTTTAAGAACTGAGAAGAGAAAAAGCTGATTTTAATAAGATAAATTTGCATATATATTTTGGCTTTTCTCTGCTTTAGAAGTAAAGTAATGGAATAGTATGATGTTTGATTCTCTCTTTCTCCAAAGCTTTGAAAGCAACTTGGATCCCACCCAAACTAGCACCCATGTAAAGTGTATTCTCCTTCACATAATATGCCCCATCTCAAATTTGTCTTTTATTTTTGCAGAATTTATAGTCTACTTTATTGCACACAAAAAATGAAAGCACATCTGCTGTCGAGAGAGCTCTCTTGGAAAACGTGTGTTATTTTGTGGAAGGGTTTTCCCCTCCCTGTTCCCACTGAGTAATGAAATATTTAGCAACATCTTGATCTATGACTTGACACAAACTATTAAAAGAGATTAACACATCCTGTTAGATCCCACATGTACAAATTTGTATCTTTGCGGTAAAAGAGAACCCCGAGTGGCAGACGTTTTGGAATTACAGCACTTATAAAACTCCCATCACTTTCATAACACAGAGCTGGTCTTCAGGCTCCTAAAAGGTTGGTTCAAAACACACACACACACACACACACACACACACACTGCTGCTATGGTCACAGTTCATGGGTTCTGCTGTTCCATAATTTTCCTGTGTTCATGCAGAACTTGATACTGACTGCAGAATCCAGCACCTTCAGAATATGTTCGCGCCTGTGAATATAAGGTTTAAATCCTGCGGGCAATTATTGTGCTCAATTCCTGTTAAGATGGGGATAGTGTAGTAATATAGGGATCAAAGAGATCTGTAGAAAACACAAGGAGCAGCAGGAATAGTTCTCTAATTTCTCATACCAAGGCTGATCTGGAATATAACATCCTGCATATTCTCTATAGAAAATAACTTAATATAGCACTCATTCAAAACAAAACACAAAATATTTTGCACGGAAATCTACCTACCCATTTTGCTTATGCGGTGAGACTAAAGATAGGTCAAATCACTCTCCAGAATTTTAGACACACTTATCTCTGCTACAAGATACTAACTGCATCCTTTCCATGCTGTAATTTTTATACAATAATTGAATTACAGGGCTGCTGCCCGAATAGGAACTGTAATATGGCAAGATGCTCCAAGGAGAATTTTTTTGCAGACTGGTGTTCAAAATGTTTGTGTCTTGCCTGCTGCCGACCACTCCAGCATTCTCCAGCTTCTCTTCCCGTTGCATCTACTGTGTATGTGTGGGTCCCCTTTTCAACCTTCCTTTCCATCATTTTGTCATTTCTGGATAGAAAATTCAAAAGTCCGCAAAAAACCCCCCAAGTAACTAAAATCCCACTTTGAACATTCACATTAACTATGCAAATAAGCTGATGGGTACATGTTTTCCCCATACAGTATATGCATACAGTGGTGCCCCGCAAGACGAATGCCTCGCAAGACGAAAAACCCGCTAGACGAAAGGGTTTTCCGTTTTTCGATGCGCTTCGCAAGACGAATTTCCCTATGGGCTTGCTTCGCAAGACAAAAACGTCTTGCGAGTCTTTTCGCTCCCCCCCCTTTTTCTAAGCCGCTAAGCTGCTAATAGCCTTTTAGCTGCTAAGCCGCTAAGCCTTTAATAGCCGCTAAACCGCTAATAGCGCTAATCCACTAAGCCGCTAATAGGGTTGCTTCGCAAGACGAAAAAACCGCTAGACGAAGAGACTCGCGGAACGGATTATTTTCGTCTTGCGAGGCACCACTGTACATCCTTTTGAAAACAAGAGTTTGGGCAAGATTTTTGCACAGACTTCCTGAGCTCACTTCATATGTCAGACTATTTCAAGCTAAAAAGAATGCGGCAGGAGTTTGTTCTCTCCTTTTCTCAAGTGAATGCTCAAGCTGGCTTGTTCCCAGCCCCTCCTTCCTAGTCAAGAGAGAAAAGGAAGTATATCCTGCAGTTATCAGCCAGCTGGCTGCCTTCTATCCTCTCAGACACTTGGGCTTAATGCACTTTCAAAAAGTGTTCAACCGCAGCGCTTGGACCAGGGACAGCGTTTTGGCAGGACATGTTTTCTCCTTCAAATTCAATTCTCTTTAGCGGGTCCCCAAACATGGCATGGCCGCAGAACTAGAGAGAGCCCTTTCTAAAGGGAGAAACAATAATGCTTGTGCCAGTGAAAAGGTTGGGTCCACTTCCAGGAAAGTGTTATATAATATATCCTTAAGCATTCCTCAGCAACAGGAGGAAGCAAAACCAATGAGTAAGACCCTGCAATGAATTTCTTGCCAATGGATTACAGTGGTACCTTGGTTTGCATACGTTTTGGATTACAAACATGGCAAACCCAGAAGTGCGTGTCCCAGTTTGCAACCTTTTTTTGAATTACAACCCCCCTTTTTTTTATTACGAACAAATTTTTTTTGGTGAAAGCGTGCCTTGGGTTACAACCTGTTTTGGTTTACAAACGGACCTCTGGAACAGATTATGCTTGTAAATCAAGGTACTACTTGTATGTTCAGGAACACTGAGTACAGAGACTGAACATACTCTGGCGAAACCCTTGAGGGGAGCAGGAGCACTGGAAGGCAGCTAACTGCACTGCATCTTTTAGAATTTGGGTCTCCAGTTATTTTTGGACTACAACTACCATCATGCCTAAGCTAGCAGGACCAGTGGGCTCAGGGATGGTGGGAACTGTAGGCCAAGAACAGCAGGGGGGATCCAAGTTTTGGGAAACCCTGTTTTAGAGGCAGGTTCTCAACTTGCTCCTGAAAATCCTACTGGTGGCTCCAGGAGTTCCACCAATGAGAAAATGATCTGATACCCTTTTATTTTCATCTGCAAGTGATAACCACCTTTCCCCTCCTATGTGAGATGAGCTAGGGAGGGACGTTACTGCAAGAAATGGGGAAACAACCAAAGATTTCATTTCATTTATATGCTCAACACGGTATCCACAAGTCTCCCTCTTCCACTGTATCCTCATGTGATGCATGACCCGGGGTTCCCCAGTGAGCCTCATAAATGAGTGGCAATTGGAGCCTATGCCTTCCTTATCCTAGCTCCTAGCCTGACACACAAACAACCACACCATACCCTAGACATTAGCCTAAAGCAAAGTTCATTTCAGGGGGCCTATTTCCTGGGGTAAAACTATGGTTGGCCCTTTGGTTGGCCCCCACGGCCCTTCACTTCATCAAATCTGGCCCTCTTTGAAAAAAGTTTGGACACCACTGATCTAAAGCAAGTATGCTACCATACATTCTTACTCACATGCAATTCTCTTCTCACTCATTTTCTACATAAAAATAAAAAATAAAATGCAATTTTTGATGTGGTGACAGAACAACAACAACAACCAGAGCAACAAAATCAAATCATTTGATTACTCTTAAACCTTCCCCACCCCCACTTCTTAAAGGCCACCATTAAGTCTGCTTTGGTTACAAAAGCTATAAATGCTAAGTTGCTTGGCATCTGGCATTGATCCATGTATATCGTATTACAGAGGCTGGGTCGTGAAACCCAAATCTTTCCTCATTATTCTTGAAATTGACAAAGCAGCAGCAACATACCATGGTACAACCAGGAAGATATTAATTTACACTGTGCAGGAACTGTGGTTGCTGCTGCTGTGAGCACAAACTGCATGGGCTCCTCTCCACGTGGCTATCTGCTTGTAGGAAGAGGCACGTTTGTGGATGAGAACAATGGTAACCATGCTAGTCATTGCCCCCTCCCCCCAGATATAATGATGCTCTTCGTACAAGCTACTTATAATAGGGTTCTGGTCATAATATCAAATGCCTTTATGCTCTGCCCAATGCAAAGTTAAGACAACGCTGAGCATAGGATGAATTGCATGTATTAAGGACAGGCACACAAATTAACTGCAACCTGAAGCTTTTGTACTTCTACCAGTTTTGAAATAGGAAACAATAGGTCATTCTAACCTAGGTAAAGGTAAAGGTACCTATGCCCATACGGGCCAGTCGTGTCCAACTCTAGGGTTGTGCGCCCATCTCACTTAAGAGGCCAGGGGCCAGCGCTGTCCGGAGACACTTCCGGGTCACGTGGCCAGCGTGACAAAGCTGCTCTGGCGAGCCAGCACCAGCGCAGCACACGGAAACGCCGTTTACTTTCCCGCTATAAAGCGGTACCTATTTATCTACTTGCACTTAAGTGTGCTTTCGAACTGCTAGGTGGGCAGGAGCTGGGACCGAAAGACGGGAGCTCACCCCGCTGCGGGGATTTGAACCGCCAACCATACGATCAGCAAGTCCTAGGCACTGAGGTTTTACCCACAGCGCCACCCGCGTCCCATACAATTCTAACCTAGACATTCTTTAATTTGAACTAAATCTGACAAAGACACAAGCAGAGAGAGAGAGAGAGGAACACTTCAAAAAAAGGCCTTGTCATCCAATCTGACAACAATTGCTTTTCACATCCTTCCTTGTGCTACATACTCCTAAACTGGGATGTTGTTTCAGTGGGAACAGCTTACCCTCTGCCAACTTTCCAGCACCTAATTCGGTCCTTGAGTTTGTCTGTGTGAAATAAAACCACCAAGCACACCAAATGATATGTTATATATAGTTAGTTGCAACTTAAGCTGAATAGTGGAAATGCGAGAAATTTTGACTCAATTTGATAGGCACCATAACACTCACTTTTTTCCTCCTAGAAAGTAAGGGGAAATGTCTGTGCGTGTTATGGAGCGAATGCCTACGGGTGGCGGGGGGATCTGCTGCAGTCGTGAGCAGAGGATCCATGGTTCCCCTTCCTTCCCTCCTCCGTGGCTCGCTTTGAAACAGCAAAGCGGGAGAAGAGCCGCTGAGTGGGGAGGAGAGAGGGACAGAGAGCCTGCTTGCTTTAAAGGAGCCAACCGGACAGGAGCCGCTTACACTCGTGTAAGCGGCTCCTGTCCGGTTGGCTCCTTTAAAGCAAGCAAGCTCTCTGTCCCTCTCTTCTCCTCACTTAGCTGGCTAAATAGCAGCAAAGTTTTTCAGCGAGCCGGGGAGGAGGGAGAGAAGCAGAGCCTGCTTGCTTCAAAGGAGCAAAGCCGGAGAGGAGAGGAGCCTTCGCCTCTTATACCCCTCTTCTGCATTATTAACAGCATCCTTCTCCACCCACCCCATGCCTGTTCCTTGTCCCTTGAGTGCTTTTCCTTCCCTCCCCACTTAAAACGTGGTTACAAAGCATGGATCCACATGGAACCTCAGGATTTTTGCATTGGGCTACCCCAAACTCACCGTCAGATCACATGTCTGTGGCCACAGCATGAACCACAAAAATCATACATCCACTGTTTCGTTTAGAATATTTTTTTTCTTGTTTTCCTCCTCTAAAAACTATGTGCGTGTTATAGAGTGAAAAATACGGTATTTCGGATGTATGGCTTGGTTCAGACTAATGCAAACCATCTCTTGACTTCTTTCATTAAATTCTAATGTTACGTGACAGGCCATTACAACCTGCCTTATCTATGGCAGCCCAAACAATGGATTGACCGGCAGCAGCTAAATTTAAATACTATTATTGGCAACTGGGATGGAGCCAAGTGTCTTTGATCCCTGCCAGGGAAACCACCCAAGCATTTACTGCTGGGAAAGCCATGCACAGGACTGCACGGGATTTCCTTTGATCTCAACGGAAGAAAGCATCATTTGTGCACAGGCATTGTACCAGCATTAAGACCCTTCGGCCAGATCCTAAGAGTTCCCAACCGACTGCCACACAGCAAGGTCAGAATACAACATTAAAATTGCAGGCACCTCTCACTTGGACCATCAGGCAATTCTGACTTTCTTACCTCAGCAGAGATCAAATTAAAGTATGCTAGTTAACAAAAATAGATGCATGCTTTAAAGAGCTGATGAAAGAGGCTAAATCATTTCTGTTCACTTTGCTCAACAGCTCAGTTCTATATACCTCTAAGCAGAAGCGTCTTGTCTAGCATGGGCTTTGCAGCACAATCTTATGCATGTTTACCTAGAAATCAAGCCCCACTGTGTCTTACTCCCAGAGAAATGGGTAAAGAACTATAGGCCTCATAAATTTCTGGTGCAACTTTTGGTTTATTGAATTGCTTAGTAGAGTTGAGGGTCCAGGAAGACAGGCACATACACGTGTTTGCTAACATCTAGGAATGTGAAATATTTATTTAGCCCTGCACAGGCTTGGTGTCTAAAAATATGATGCCGGCATCTAGGAATTTGAACTATTTCCCCCCAACCCTGTTGTAGATGTTTTAAAATACAGCCATGAGCTGAGAAGTAGCAGAGAGATAAAGAATCGTCACAAATTAACAAAAAGGTGCGCAAGATTTACAGTTAAGAGAATGTATGCAAAACATGCACAAATTTATTAAAGTCATCAAGCCATTAAGATTTAAGGAGACTGAAGGGACAAGACAGATTAATGACTGGACTCAAAGTCCAAGCAACTCAAGTATAGTTGTGTTAGTAGGGTGCGTGGGAGAGTTACATAAATTAAATTGAAATGCAGTAAGTCAATTGATGTCTAGTGTCTAGCATTCACATAGGCAATTCCCTTTCTAAGTTCATAAAAAATGCATTTAATGAGAACCACGTGGGTCAGGAAACACAAAACCAAGCAGGAAAATCTACTGGTGAAAAGACACGGAAATGTCTGGCTGACATACAGATCACTTGAGAGGAAAGGTTACAATGGAAAGAAAAAGGAAAATTATAGCTACTGCTTTCTCATGTCGAAATATGAAAAAAAAAATATTTGGCACTAGGCTACTGAAAAGCAAACTGGCACAAAACTACCAACTGAACATTTGCTATTTGTTTTAGAACAGCGACATTGTTTTTGCAAATTGTGACAAATCAGTGCTTCAGTTTCTGTTAAGCATTACTTATTTGATCACCTTATCTCTCCACATTCTCCCATATACACACACGTTTCCAGATATTAGAGCAGCCTCTCTCCATCCCACCCTTAAAAACAAGTCTGCTGTTCTACAGGACTTGATTTTGCAAGGTAGCTGCATGATTTTTGCAGGCTCCTCCTTGTATAATGCCCATATCAGTAGCAACAACTACTTGCCAAAAGGGATGGCCAAAGACAACATGAAACAGAAAATCAGCAGCGGGGTGGGGGGTGGAGATAGAGAAAGAAACCTTTTTTTAGGTTGAAGAAACTGCAAATAAATGAATATGCTTTGAATATTCCGTCATAATGCTGCTTTTAACCATGCAGAGTAGTTTCAGTGCTGGTTTACATTGCTTGGAGTATGTTGATTGCATTAAATCAGATTTGAAGCTTGTATGCCCGATATAGAAAGGTGGGATCTAAATTTCAGAAATTACTGCTGTTGCAAAACGCTCCTGGCATTACCTGGTTGCAATTGTGGACCATCACAGTTCTATATTTACCTGGAACTCATATATCTCACTCTAAAGATGTGCCACTTCCCCACATGTGCAACACGGAAGCCCGGAAACTCGTTTACACTCCCTCCAACACCAGTTTGCTTGTAACACACAAGGCTGCTTTCTCGTTTTTTTAGTCAGAGCTTGCATCACCTTGTTTATACATCAAATATTGTGCCATTGCCCCCAACATTGCAGCGAGTGTCATCTTCTGGAGGGAGGTGAGGCAATACTGGAGAAAAGGTCTAAGAAAAATTCTGTGTGTGTCATGGATCCAGTATGGTTGGTGGGGCAGCAAAGGTGGGGTAGCTTTGCACATTCGGCTTCCAGATGACAAGAGTTGCAGCCAACAAGAGTGTTTTGATATTGAGAACCAACATGACCCAGTGTGGCATAATGGTTAGAGTGTTGGACTAGGACCTAGGAGGGCAGGGTTCGAATCCCCACTCGGCCATGAAGTTCACTGGATAATAGTAAGTAAGTAGGTACCAGTAATTTTTTATTTATACCCCACCCTCCCTGGCCAAGACCAGGCTCAGGGCAGCTAATATCAAATACATTAAAACACAATCAAACAATTGATTAAAATACAGCTTAAAAATTAGAATCAGGATAAAATCAAATGACTGCCCATGAAATTACAACCATAGAGGTCGGGAACCTCAAGTATTCATCAGGGCCGGCTATCCATGTTGGTCCCACATGAGCCAATAAAAGGGCCAAAGAGGTAACTTTACAGGGTTCCATAGAGGGGGGGGGTCAAACTGGGTCTGGACCGAAGGCCAGGCGGAAAGATGTCAAGTCCCGCAGGGCCCTGGTCTCTTGTGACAGAGCGTTCCACCAGGATGGGGCCAAAGCCGAAAAGGCCTTGGCCCTGGTTGAGGCCAGTTTAACTTCCTTGAGGCCCGGGACCTTGGGCCAGTCCCCATCTCTTAGCCTAACCCAATTTATAGGGTTGTTGTGAGTATGAAATGGGAGTGGCTTTCTTGGGTGTTATATCGGGAGTAGATGAAGTGAATATGGTTTATATATAGCGGACAAAGACTCATAAGTCCCTTACCCTCTCAATTTTATTTCTCTCTCTCTTAACCTCTTTCTTTCTTTTTTTCTTTCTCCCTCTCTTTCTTTATTCCCTTTATGTTTTTATTGCATTTATATCACAGTTTTAGTTTGGACCAAAAAAAGAGAGGAAAAGATATTTAATACTAAGTTTTGTATTTTTCCTCTATAAGCACGAATAAAATTTATTCAAAAAAAACACTAAATCCATGTTTTATCATTCTGAAGAAAACATGAATATTTTAAAAGATGAGGCACATGACCCCTTGCATTTCAACACACACAATGTAATTACACTTTGGCTAAAAGTCTTCCGTCCTTTTAGGAGTCTGTGCCAAATGTGTTCTGCCAGGAATTAAAACTACTTCAGTTCCAAGTTACTGAAGAGAAATGTCACTTCCCTCTTCTTAATTCACAAGACTCGGCTTGGCTGTTGGGACTAACTACTCGGTGAATATTTAAATGCCCTACTTTCCATTGGGAATAGTTTTGACAGTGACGGCCACATAATTTCAGGCATGGAGAATTTCAGGCACGGAGAATAAAGCCTCAGAATGATGAATAGATGACACTTGACTTGCTGTTCATTTCTGAAGTTGGAAGGAAGGGCAACTCGCCTGAAAGATTGCTTTGTGGTTTCTGCACAACTCCCTCGACTGACGCTTAACTCCCCCCCCCCCAAAAAACCTAGAGCTACAAATCTTGCAAGAGGGTGGAGAACAGAACTGTATGATACAACAAAATAAGCTCTTTGCAGTGTTACTTTGACCATTTACAAGCTGCCCGGGAATAGAGTTTAGAAGACTCATCAGTGTGATGCACCATTAAAAAAAAAAACAGACACTGTAAAATCAAAGAAACACAAAAGCAGAGTGTCGAAGAAGCTGCAGCAGCAGCAGCAGCAGCAAGAACTGCGAAAACCCAAGCTATAAAAACACGTTTAAAAGGTTGGGTGGGGAATTATTTGTGTTCAGATGAGTGAATTGGGGATTTTATTTTTTGAAACACAGGGGCTATGGGTGCTTCATAGAACTACAGTGTGTTTTCAGTCCTGGTGCAGGTCCCCACCCCACCCCAATGCCTTTTTAAATGACAATAGAGCCATAACTATCAGCCACACCAATCCTTTCCTCTATTCCATTTAGCACCACAGCATCTCGGCTGCGAGCAGGGGGAGCAGAAACCCCTTTGTTTTATTGCCTACTGTAACTATTCTGCATGCATCCACCTTCGCTGCCCAACCCTCGCCTGTTCTTTACCTCAGCTGATGGATGAACTCACAGCTGCAACATCTGGATAATGCCAGGCTCTGGCACAGGTTGTGAATAGAGGCACACAGAAAATAAACTTTGCTAAAGCCTTAGAAGACCGAAGGAGCAGGCAGGAGGAGATGCTAGGAACACGTTTGTTTATTATTGTTGTATTTATTAAATTTGTATACTGCCCTTCCTCAAGAGATCCCAGGCGGTTTGCATGGTACAATATCCTCATTAAGTGTGTTTCAGCCAACACAAACCCCAGATGAAATTG